GGGGGGGGGGGAACATTCCGGTCTCAGTGGGGGAACAGCAAGCTCATACCCTCCCCCACCAACCGCAGCCCATGCGAGGAGGCTAGAAAGCAGGGAAGCCGCAGCCAGACCGCGCGGTACCTCCGATAGCAGGACGCAGCCCCACCCCACTTCCGGCCCGGGAGGCTGGGGGTGGGGGAGCCCCTCCTCTGCAGGGGATCGTCCCAGGAAGTGACGCAGCAGCGTCTGCGGCAGGAGCCTGCCGGAAGGGGAAAGAACCGCCTGCTGGCACCGCCCCTCTGCCTTCATCGCCACCACGCAGCCTGCCTGAAGCCTGGTGGCGGCGTGGGGATGGCGCTGAGTCTCACGGTGAACGCGGGGAACCCCCCGCTTGGTGAGTTCCCCCTTATATCCCCCTTGACGTCCGAGGGCTGCGAGGGAGGGTGCCTCGGCCGGCCGCTGGCTAGCCGCAGGGCCTCGCGGGCGCTTCGCAGCTTCAGGTGGCCTCGGGCCAGGGCTGCATGGACTCGCCGGGCGGCCCCGTCCTGGGAAACGTAGTTTATGCAACAAGTAATATATATAACGTCTGTTTGTCTATGTAGGTATAGATAGAGATGTGTATCTAGACATAGATTACTTTAATTACTGTATTACATTATATTTGTATATAGGTATAGATAGGTGAGTTATAGGTATGTATTACTTTATACATCTGTACTATGTTATGGTCTGTATCTCTGGAACATAATGTAGATATGTAATGTAATAACTATAACATAATACGCCTTATTGGTGTACTGCAGGACAGGGGATTCTGGCCCAGAGGTGGCAGTGCATGGCAGGGCCTTAAGAAGGTTTTGAGGAGGCAGCAGAGCCACGCAGTGTTAGCACGGTTAATTGGGAAAACAGGATTGACTAGATATACTCAGAGACTTCAGGCAGGACTCCCTACTGCCAAATGCATTCTGACCTGTTGTGGGCTGAGGTTTTTTCAACAGATGTTTGCTGTATTGTTTCTTTCTGTAGTAATAACAAAAAAAAAGAGTGCCAATGAAGCTGGCATTTTCCAAGGGGTGCCTTTAGCCTCTCAAGGGTTGCCTCAAGTATAAAAAGATTGAACCACTGGTCCAGTGGCAGTCCGTTCGTTTCTGGCTCTGGTTCAGAATTGCACTTTGGGGTGTGCCTGTCTGCTCCCTTTTCTGCTCCTGTTCCTCATCTAGCCCAGGGCTTTCACAACACCACCTTACTGCACTGCTAAAGGTGCGAGAACCTTCTTCCCAGCAACTCATGGGCACGTGGAAACAGCCCTTCACCTGTCTGCCATGCTGATTCCCCATTGGATTTCACATTGCTGCTGAAAATGCACTTCATTTCTGTGTTGTCTTTTTGCTCTGTGCTGTTCCATATTCTTTTCTTTCATTGTATTATTCAACTCTGAAAAGCACTATGTGATGCAGTTTGAACGACAGATGCGTTTTAGAAGTATATTAGTATTTAAGTACAGCACTGCCTCATTCTAGCAAGCGTGTACTTTTAACAAACTACTGCCAGAACCATTTTTTTTTTATTACTATGAAGCAGTAAATTGACTAACCCTTTTATATTCAGTGAACTTCTCTATCCCCATGGAGGTTCATTGTAAAGGCACATGAAAAATCCTGCAAAAAAAAAAATTTGTGAAAGACTCCTCAAAAATCCTTATTGAAATGAATGGCTTGTAGGTATGACATTATGTAAAAAACATCCTCTGATTAGTTTAATTTACTTTTGTCTCTTACTAAATTTTACTTCCTTAGCCTGAGTACATGCCTGAGTAGAGGGTTCTTCCAATTCAGCCCTTGGATGACTGTAAATATTACACGTGTAACACTTTTTAAATGCAGAAGTGTTTTCTTTAGAAAAATCAGGCACTTTTACTGCATTTGATTCGTAGGTCATATTAATGATTATTATGAGCTATGAAAATTGTACTGGCAGTTGTTGTAATTTATGGTAATGATGTTTTGTAGGATGTAGCACTCTTCATCTTTTGAAGCATTGTGAAAACATTAGTTACATGCTTATCTTCTCACAAAGGTATTGCAGGGAATCTTCTCCCCATTTTGACACACAGTGAGGGAAGAACATTAAGGGTACATTTACGTGGTGCAGCGCATTGCCTGAGCAGCCTTGGATGCGCTAATTTGGGTATGGAAACAAGATGGCCACTTTAGCAGGGCACTCCTCCTGGGCTAAATGGCCCTGCTGTGCCAGCTCGGCTATACTGCCTCTGGTAACTGAGCTGTCTCCTCTCTCTCTCTCTGGGACTGCCACTGTTCTGTGTTGACACTAACTGACTATCCTCATTCCACAAAGTGTATGTGCATGTGTTTTACAGAATTGGGATCTGGGCATGGGAATTTCTTGTTCCTAGTTGGCTTAGGCCAGCTTACTAATACTGCTCTTTATACTTTAATGTACAGACTACAATTAGATTTTTTTACCAAGAATAAGGTTTTTGTGTTGCTATGAAAATGGGCTGCTGGACCTTTAAGGCCCAGATCTCAGTTTGATCCAGGCAAACAACACTATATATTTGTGCAGATGTTTGTTGCCTTTAGGCAGTGGCATCTTAGAGTGTCAAGGGCAAACCATCCTGTCTAGAGGTGGTCCATCATGGACAGAGCTGAGTCACATTTACAGTATTGTGGAAGCTTTGTTCCATGGATGGAAAGAGGATTTTAGTCTGTAGGATGGTTAATCCTTTCACAAGCATTCAATCCACTTAAAAAATTGACCTTGCCCTTTTGGTCTCTCTTCCCCCTCCACCCCCAAAGCCCCTAATGTTAGTACATGTGAAATACACAGTAGTGATTGACTAAAATGTTACTGCGGGGCAGGTATGGGGTGCAAAGGCATTTGTCCAAGGTGTTTAGTTTCTTTAGCATTTGCCTATGTGACTGAGTATTGTTAAATAAAGTACTTATAGATGCTGCTGCTAAGAGGCATGAGGCAAGCTTATGTTGAGGGAGTAGATGAATTGCTCAGGTTTGGCAATTTGAGATTCTTCTTTAGCTTAGGAGATTAGATGAATTCATTTTATACCCTTAGGAGGCAAATATAGTTCAACCAGTCCTTGCTGAAGTCACTGCAGGCTTTTATCCTCTTTATTTTCTAGACTGTGAGGGCTTCCAGGAAAAAGAAACCTCCTATGTATAGGACTGAATATCAATTTCTTCCCTGAGCCATTCAGTTTGAAGGCAGTGGTCATGAATAGGGAATATAATTACTTTGTTGCAACCTATTAAATATTCCTTACTCTGAAGAAATACCAATATATTTTCTTTCTTTAGGAGCCTTGCTGACTGTAGAACACATGAAGAACGATGTTGAAATTTTAGTTGAAGAAGGCAAAGAGACCGTCCTCCGTATATCTGAGTAAGTGACTTAGCATCTCTGCCATCATCTTTGGGTCATCACTTTTAAACACCAAATTAAGTTAATGTTGATAAGTATTATTTTTTTGTAGGTAGGGAAGTGGGGGAGAAAAGGTACATCACTATTTATCATACTTTTGTCTATTTTCCCAATACAGTTACAGTACTTGAAACTTTTACTGGTTTTCATCTTTTAGAAAAGAACAGGATGAAAATGTGTTTTAGAAAGGAGGTTGCTAGACATTTGCTGCTTTTACATATGACACTAACGTTTAACCCATTTAGCTTGTTTTCATCTATATGGCTTATTACTGTATCACCTAAGAATTCATCTCCATGTAATGGTGCATATTATAGGATTTATATTTTGATAAACAAGCATAAATATAT